TTTTTTTTGGTTTTTTTAATATGTTGCAATTAGAAGCATGATTAGTTTTTTATTTATTTATTTGAATTCCATTATTAAATGAATATAGCATGAGTTATTTGTATATTTACATTGAGATGCTATTGTATGGAATTTATCATGCTTTGTATATGCCATAAATAGTGGGAGATTGTTTGATTGTTTTTTGCGCATGGAATTAAATTAAATTTTGATAATTATCACTAGAGACGCAAGAGATGATTACGAGCATATCAAATTTTCGATCTTGAGACATGTGTAAAATTATCATTATTTAATTTAGATTCTTTTTGCTGCAAAATATTTTGTTTGGTGTTGCTATCATTAATATCCCCTGCGCATTTGTAGACTCTGTTTGAAAGAAATGGCTGCTAAGACAGTGGTGGTAGACTTAACTAAGGGAGAGAAATTGGATGGCGACAATTATGATATATGGCGCCGTAAGATCCAATACCTCCTCAATGAGCAAGAAGTGTTGACCACACTTGAACAAGTGATGGTTGAGCCAGAGCAGGGCAATACAACTCAACATCGTCATGATCTTGAAGCCTTTCAGACTTGGCGTAACAAAGATCGGTGTGCGCGCTTTACTATGTTGAGCAGCATGCACAACGACTTGATTAGTGAGTTTGAGCATTGCCCGACTGCATTTGAGATATGGGAAGCTCTCAAGCAAAAGTTTGGTATTACCTCTTTGGCAAAGCTACATGGGCTGACTATGAAGTTTAACTCATATCAGAAAAGGCGCATCACTCGATGAAGCAGCATTTGAGAGTCATGCCAGCCATGATACGTGAGCTTGTGGCTGCTGGGCACAATTTGACTCAAGAGCAGCAAGTATAGGCTGTGATACGCTCTCTGCCAAATTCTTGGGAGCAGATGAAGCAGAACATGATGCATAATGAGAGTGTGAAAACATTCGAAGACATATCGCGTCATTTGGAGCTAGAGGCTGAGCGCCTTGAGGTGGCTAAGTCTGATGGTTCTGCTATGGTGGTTGAGTCAAGCTCACGTAGGACTTCTCAGTTCAAACGTGGAAAATCAAAAGGTGCCCCTAAAAAACAAGCAGCAGCTACGCTTAAGCCCAATGGCACTAGAAATTTCAAGCGTAGGGGCAAGAGAGGTGGTAAGAAGGCAAAGGCTAAATTGACATGCTTTAACTGTAACAAAGAAAGACATTTCGCTCGGGATTGCCCTGAGCAGAAGAAGGTACTCCCTTACTTAATTTCTGGCATTCAATGCTTTGTGTCTAGTCAAGCATTAATTGCTCATTCTCCTCATTTTTGGGTTGTAGACTCCGGAGCAACAGACCACATCGCGAGGGACAGAGTAGGGTTCGTTGAGTATCGCCGAGTACCTGCTGGGAGCAGAAAAGTTTACATGGGGAACGAGTCCAGTGTGGAGGTGCTTGGCATTGGCACATACAAGCTGGAAATGCGACGAGGGCGCACCTTGTATCTTCATGATGTTCTTTATGCTCCGAATATTCGGCGAAACTTAGTTTCAGTTATTAGCATGATAA